GGAAATGCAAACAATTAAACCATATATAAGTAACTTTTTGTCTGTTTACAAGAGAGAAAATTAACGTCCTATCATTCATAGCAATATTTATATTTAATGCTCCATATGTAAGTGATTTTTTGTCTAAATAAATGGTAGAACAAATTACTAATTACTAACTAGGTTGAAAGAAAATAAAGACATGAGATAATAGTGGGACTTACATATATGATGAAAGTTGCACTAGCCATGTTTTTCATCCATTGATATTCAAAGTTAACAATTTTTAAAATCAATGAATTATCAAATTTCTTCGAAGGTATAGTGATAGGAGAAATAATTAAGTAACTAATTATCTCAAATTAACTTTATGTGATCAAAAGAAAGAGTAAACATCTACGTTTTGTTAATTGCTTTACTAATTAGTCCTATTTCCTGTCTTTTTCCTATCTTTAATTATGCAAATCATGTTTTATGACTATTCTCATGCACTAAATATTTTGTTAATTGATATAGTAAAACTTTATTTGTAGCACATATAAACAAATCATGTTATGTGACTATTTTTCTACGTTAAATATTTTATTAGTTGATATGGTAAAATATTATTTTAGCACACATAAATCATGTTCTGTGACTATGTTCCTACGTGGAACGATAATGTTAATTACATATTAGTGGGTTACTCCCTCTAATTCAATATAAATAAACTATTGACACTATTTTATATTGATAAATTAATATTTTGTTAATGACTTTAAGTATTTTTTTACGGGTGTCACTTTTTAACAATTTATTTATATTATACGGAAAAGAGCTTAAAATGCTTTTTAACTATTTTAATTGGTACAAAATCACCCTCCATTTATCTTTGGGCTCCAAAATACCCCTAACGTTGACTTTTTGTCTCAAAAATACCTTTATGTCTAACAGATCAAACTCATTAGGTGGATGAAGGGTAATATTGTACCAAACCTCATAGTTTAAGGGTATTTTAGTCCCTTTTACGTTAAAATGATTTGAAATTACTTAATAAATAAATTCACATGATTGACTCGATTTTAAATTTCATAGTAAATTAAAAATAAAATAAAAAAAAGTTAGGCATCTACTCTCTACACTCCCCCCCCCCCCCCCCCCCCCAATCCATTTTTGTTTTCTATTTGGATCTTGTCCACCATTTTATTTTATTTTCAATTTATGACAAACAAGAGAGCAAAAAGGAAGAAAATAATGATGCATTTATATAGAAATAATTAGTTGAACAAAAAGATGACTCAATTAATTAGCAAATATGTACGAAAAATTCATTATTTTCTTTTGTGTGTACCCCTAATTCAAAATAAAAGAATAAAAATAATCATTTCTCTTATCACCTTCATCCCACCATAACAATAATACAAATTAAAAGAATATAAACATGTGAGTTCATTTCAAGTTTGAGTCTCGGATATCTTAATTAAGAATAAGAGATTTAAAAAGAAATAAAAGAGAAAATGAACAAGACATTTGAATAATTGATAGAAAATTTTATATTAATGAAAATAATATTTTTTTAGATGGACAATTAGTTGGGGTGAGTATGGATTTTAGTAAGATCCCCATTTATGGAGTTGGGTTACGTTATAATAAATTGGAGGTTGATTTAAAATAAGCCAATAGGAAGATATCATGAAATTAATTATTTTTCAATATTATTTTCAAGTGTGTCGAATCAAAATATGAACCAGATGTGGTTTTATATATATAACAAAAAAGTTCTTAAAGCAATATAATAAATAAATATTTAATAATTTTACTTTAAGGGAGCTATTAAAAATAAGGGCAAATATGAACCATAGGATTAACATCAAAAGTATTTTTAGTCAAAAGGTGAACGTCACTGTTTCTTAGAGGCGAAAGATGGATGAAGGGTAATTTTATACCAAGTCAAATACTTGAGGAACATTTTAGACCCTTCTCCGTATATTATATTATTGATGTTGCCTTATGATGCAGAAATATAGCTCTGAGGCTACCCAATACAAACTAAAGATCCATCATAATTCATATCCATAGAGTTTGCAACCCTCTCCTGCAGTGCAACAACTAACGCAAACTTGATAAAGTTTGATCCAGAAGATGGACAAGTCACATAAACAACTTTCCGAGCTGTGGGTACATGCATTGGGTTCAGTACTCTCTCCGAAATAGTAGCAACCCTTATACCTCGTACATCAGGTGGTGCATCTCGTGGGATAAATTATCATTTGTCCTTTTAAACGGAGACACTTTGAAATATTTGTTATCTAGAAATAATTTTCTTCGACTAAACATAATTGATCTTTGATTAATATATTGTATATATATTTTAGTTTTGATCTCTATATACGGTATATATGATTGGACTAAACATAATTGATGTTCAATTAATATAAACTTGCGATTTTGATTTTTCACACTAAAAAAAGTTAAAAATTTAATGGAATTGTTAATTTTAAAATATAGATTTTTTTTGAAAAACTTATTCAAAAATGAAGATTAATTAATTTGTTAAGACAAACACGATGTTGAAGTCATCATTATCGCCAACTCATACCATTCAATTCAAATATAATCAAATTGGATCAAAATTTATCTTCTCCCCCTCTCTATGGCTTTTCTCGTTCAGTCGTTCATGTATTATATTTTAACTTTCTATTAATTATGTATAGCTATAAGTAGGGGTGTTCATGATTTGGATAAAAACCGATCCAAACCGAAAAATCAATCCTAATCGATTAAATGAACCGATTTAATTTGGGTTTTGGTTTGGTTTTAGATTGTTAAGAACCGATAGTCATTGGTTTGGTTATGGTTTTGTTTGAAAAAAATCGAAGAAATAACCGAACCGAACCAACAAGTTATATACATAAATTTTATTACTATACATACATAATATATTATATTCATAAACAATTTTAAAGATTTTATATATGTTTCATCAAAATTTATTTATAATTTACTTATGAAAGAAAAAATATCCAAGGTGAGAACATTTTTCTTATTGGTTTCATGTATATGAGTGTCTATGGAAATTCATTGTGGGACTGAAAATGTCATTGTCTCTAACTTCTATGCCAAAATAGTGAATTTTGAAGTTTTATTCAGTAAATTCAATGATCCAAAGTTCTGTAATGCCAGTCATTCTATCTATTTTTCGTTTGAATGGATTGTTGTCACTTTTTTCACGTTTTGAATGAATTGTTTCTTTTATTTTTATGTATGGTTAATAACCGAACCAAACCAAACCAAAACCGAAAACAACCAAACCGATAAATGTATATTATATTTGATTTGGTTTGATTTTGATAATTTTAAAACCGATTAAGTTGGTTTGATTTTGGTTTTGACCAATATCCGACCCAAACCAACCCGTAAACACCCCTAGCTATAAGATTGAATTATTCAACCAGATTCTTCTTATAGAACATTAACCCGAGATTTCTTAGCGCAGTTACCCTTGAATGTATTTTTTTTCTTATTTATTTTTAATTAATGATTTCATTAGTTTAGGATGAAATTACTTTTTTACATAAATTAAAGATTAATTATGCTTAATCAAAATATACATGAATCAAAACTGATAATAAACCAATAATACAAAGACCAAAATTGTTATTTGCCCATCACTTTATTTTTTGTAATTAAAGTGGATAGAACTACTTTTACAAATAGATATTTGTGAATTAAACAGATGGCACAATGCAGCGTAAATTGGATAACCCTCTATGAAGAGTGATATAACCTACAAAAATAAAATAATATCTCTTTCATATGGAATTATTGTATTGTATCTAGTTGAACGACAATAATGGAGAGTCCGGCATCAAAATGGACACTTTTTAAATTCTGAATATAAAAAAGGACCCTCTCTAAAAGTACACACTAAAACGGACAAGTCACCCATTTATGGACGAACTACAACTACCATTTTTAACATCGTAGCCTCCGTTAACTCCAAATTTATCCAAACCAATATTACACAAATATTTTTGTTAACCCCTAACGTAAATCAATATCTCTTTCTCGATTCGTGGAAGATTAGACTTTCATAGTCATTTTTTAAAAGTAAACCTTTAACTACGGTTAAGACACTTTTAAGTTAAATTTAATTTGAACCCTTAAATTAATTTTATATATTTAAAATAGATAAATGTCAATCATCCTGATATGAATTTGAAAAAATGAATGAGAAAGATGATTCAATTAAGGCCACGTTTTAATCATTACTAAAATAAGATACAGTATATTTTCATATATATATTTGCTTTCAAAAAAAATTGACAATCCTTCGTTTCTAGCAATAAATTTCCTCAACCACAAATATATTAAAGATAACTACGGCATAGAAACAAAAATTTGTAGTAGAAAACAAAGAAGAATTTTATGTTAGCGGAGGGATCCAAATTTGTATACTTCAATATGAAATTAAAAAAACTTCATTGAACATCAAAATAATAATAATAATCATAAACTCTTCAATTTTTGTATTCCTAGCTTCTTGAATTAAATTGTTTACATATTCAACAATTATATAGATGTAAAAATTATTTCTCTATCTATTCTGTTTATATCATGCATGGTTTGAGATATATCAAAGGATAAAAGTAATATAGGTAAATTATCTCACTTTATTAAGTTTTCTATCTGAATTATTGAAAATGTAAGTTTTTTACCTTCTTATCTGAACTATTCTTAATGATTAGCAAAAACATGCCTAGACATGACAAGACAAAATATTTATCTAAAAATCTTTTTAGATAAGTTTATTCATAAAATCTTCGTCCACTTACCATATATAAAAATCGCTCTATGCTATCCTAATAGAATTTGGCTCCCCTCCAGTGGGAGTTTTCTCCCGTGATACCCCTTATTAATAATGGACTAAATTCATTTTGCTAACCCAATTGATATTAACTATGATTAATGTTATATGTATATGGATTTAGTTAATAAAATGCATATTCTGGTTCATTAAATAATTATAAAGACAGTTGACATTCATTTAGGATAAGAATTATGGATGATCTCTTTCTCTTATTCAGATAATTAGTAATTACACATAACACACAACTCTGATGCCCACACATTATAGTGATTAGCATGTCATTATGTGTGCATGCTTTTATTTCATACATTAATTACTAATTAAAAACTACAACGCATAGTATTGATGCTTTATGCTGTGGACAAATATGCCTTGGGTTCATCACTTTCTCCTTCACATACAAACTTGCCATTTTTACCGAAATAGTAACAACCCTTGTATCCTGTGCAGCATGTGGTACATCCGGTGGGATAAATTAGCGATTTTCCTTCTGAACGGGGACATCTTGAATAGGCAATATTTGTATCACAATTTAGGGGGCAAGCTTTTGGGTTTTTTGGGTCAGATTCTCCTTCGCAAATAAATCTCCCGAAAGCACTATAATAATTACAACCCTTATAGCCTGAGCAACAATTGATGCATATGGGATTTGTCGGACTTCCTTCTGAACGTGGGCATATCCCAAAGCCAAGATTACCACATTCTTTAGTACAACCCAAAGCATCAACATATAGAAACATTCCTACAAGAAATATATATTAAGTAAAAAACATAAAACTACTTGTGTATGTATAAACCAATAACTTTTTTAAAAAAAAAAAAAAAAAGAGTAGAGGAAAATCTCACCAAGAACAATTAGTAGGTAAGCAACGAAACTAACTTCCTTGTGAACAGCCATTATGGATAATTAATTAGTACCTTGTTTTCTTTTAGTTTTGGGGTGATGAGTGTCTGTCCTCCTCTACCTATTTATAGCAAACGAGTGATAAAAAAGATAGCAAAATAAAACTTTTTTTTTCTTCATATTAGTATATATTATTTTTATTAATTGATAAAAAAAAAAATGTGCTTGCTAGTATAATTAGTTTGGCAATGTACTTACGCTTGCTTCTTCTTAATTACTCTCTCCATCCGATCTTTAGATGTCCGATATACTTGTCTAACTTGAAAAGTTTTGTGTCTATTTTATCTTTGCTATTAGAGACTATTTACTATCAAATATATTTTTCAAAGCATTAAATTTAATATATTCAAAAAATAATATTGTAATATCATTCTTATTATTTATTGTTTCTGAATATAAGTCTCAAATTTATATAGTGGACAATTATGATTGGACGGAGGAGTGGAAAGCTTAACTTTTCCTGGTTGCTATCTTTAATTTCTCCTATTCAGCAAGCTGTACTGACCCCGACTTGCATGTTTTTTTGAAATTATTGTCATCCAGCAACAATTTCTTAGTTCACGTGATAATTAAGTTGGAACTCTATTATTGCACAAGGAAAAATAATAAAAATATCCTTGAATTATCTGAAAAAGGCTTAAATATATCCCTTATTCATATCTTTGGTTAAAAAATACCTTTTTACTCACCTTTTGAACTCATTTTTATCCTTTAAACTAGAGCCGTCAAAATAGGTTTAGCCCATGGGATCGGCCCAACCCAATTCATTATTGGGGGTAGAGTTGGGATATGATTTTTCAAGCTCATTTAAAACTAAGGATATAAGCCCAACCCATATAAACCCTTAGCCCTTGAGGCTTAATCGGGGTCGAGCTAGGATCGGCCCATAGGCCAAAACTTTTTATTTAATGGTAACTTACAATAATATCACTAGTATATAATCTAATTACTTAAATACACGTTATGTTGTAATATTATGAATCTTATCAAATTTTGGTACGTTCAGATACATGTATCTCAGAAAATATGAACTCAAAATTAGGTTAATTTGTTTTAGATACATTCTATCCAAGTAGATTCGCATCTATCTAGGATACATAGACAAATTTCGCACCCTCACATCTCTCACATCTTGCTTGTCACTCTCTTATCTTGCTCACGTGTCTGATATGCAAGATACATGTTAATTACACTAGATTTTTTGCTAGTGTTATTGAAACAACACCATTGATTGCCATATTTGATTTGAAAATCTTCTCATTTTCTTGATGTTAGAGAATTATAAGTTTGAAAAGAAAAAAATGAAAAAAGAAGGGCTAATCCGCTCCAGCCCTCGGCCCTTCTAGGATTGAGCATTTTCAGGCCTTACCAAATAAAGGATCAGCCCATCCTAGCTCTTCAAATTCATTGGCCCACGAGGCTTGAGCTGGGTGGGGCTGGATTGACCCTTTTCGACAGCTCTACTTCAAACTAACAACCCATTTTTATTTATTATTATTATTGTTATTTATTAGGTGACGTCTCCTATTGGATAAAAATTAATCCCCAACTCATCAATTTTTTTCCAATCTGCCCCAACCCAATCCCACAGCCCCATGAATATTATTGGATGTTTCCAACCTGAATGCTTAGTCTAATATGAAACAAGGAGGGGAGGCTGGGGGTGTACTGTTCCAATGATAACCAAAACTCTAAGATCAATCACGTGAATTTTTTTTAATATATACAATCAATAAATTAAGCCGTCAGCCCTTTGCTAAAAAGTTGGGTCGAGAAAGATTTGATGGGTCGAAAATTAAATTTTTATCCAATAGGAAGATGTCACCTAATAAAAAATAAGAATAACAATAATTTAAAAAAGGGTTGTTAGATTGAGGGATATTTGTAACCAAATAAATGAATGAGGTATATTTAAATATTTTCAAATAGACTAGGGGTATTTTTAGCCCTCTTTACTATTGCATATATAGCTTTAGGGTATAACAATTTTAGTCCCTGTGTTTTGGAATATATTCTAGTTTTAATCATGTATATAGGGGTGTTCATGCGTTGATTTGGGTCGGTTATTGGTTAAAATAAAAACCAAACCAACTTAATCGATTTTAAAATTATCAAAACCAAACCAAACCTAATATAATATACATTTATCGGTTTGGTTGTTATCGATTTCGGTTCGGTTATTCGGTTGTTAACCATATACATAAAATTAAAAGAAATAATTCATTCAAAACGTGACAAAAAGTAGCAATAATCCATTCAAAACGAAAAATAGTTAGAATGACTGACATTACGAAACTCTCAATCATTGAATTTACTATGAATAAAGCTTCAAAGTTCACTACTTTTGTCCTAGAAGGAAGAGAAATTGACATTTTCAGTCCCACAAAAAATTGTTATAAACACTCATATATACATGAAACTAATAAGATAAATATTCTTATCTTGGGCATTTTTACTTTCAGAAGTAAATTATAAATAAATTTTGATGAATACATATATAAGATTTTTAAAATTGTTTATAAAATAGTATATTATGTATGTATAATAATAAAATTTATGTATATTATTTATTGGTTTGGTTCGGTTATTTCTTCGATTTTTTTCGAACAAAACCATAACCAAACCAAATACTATCAGTTTTTTTAAAATCTAAACCCAAGCCAAATCAAACACTAAATAAAATCAGTTCATTTAATCGGTTTGATTCAGGTTTTCAATTTGAATAAGTTTTTATCCAAACCGTGAACACCCCTACATGTATATATAATTCGATTAATCTACGATTAATATAAATATGTACTTTTGATTTTTCACAGTAATGAAAGTTAAAAAAAATTAACGAAAACGTTAATTTTAAAATATAGAAAATTTAAAGAAAAAAAATCAAAAGTAAAGATTAATTTATTAAAAAGGCTAGTCTCGATTGACAAACACAATCCCCTCTGTTTTAATGGGTTTTCTTGTTCATATATGTTATTTTAGGAAAAAACTTATTTGCACCGGGTGTTTACATCAAATTAATGCAATTTTCATTATTATGTGATTTAGTGAAGTAAAACACATGTTTTAATTAATTAAGTTTATGTAAAATAAACTATAAATTTAAACACATGGCATATATGTATTGAATTGGTGTAAACACAAGATGCGGGTAAGTTTTACCCGTTATTTTAAGTACTTTCTGCTAATTTTTAATACTTTCTGCTAATTCTTATATCTAAATAAAAGAATTCTTAGAAGGATTGAATTCAACCACAAGAAAAACTAAAAAACATTTTATTTATTAAAAAAAAATAAACACGACCCACTCTCTTTTACCATGAAATTCTGAAGAAGTTAGAGCCATATGACCCATTAAGCGCATTTACCCTTGGATGTATTTTTCTTTTTCACTTTTCTTATTTATTTTTAATTAATATTTTTCATTAGTTTGAGGATTAAAATCCCACATTTATATAAATTACTATTATACAAAGATGAAAATCGAAATATACCAATAATACAAAGATTGAATCCGGTCAACAAATTGTGCCAAAAATAATGCTATCATATTATTGCTATTGAGTTATTGGGTTAATGAATTTTTAATGATTTTATAAAAAAAATGATTGGATTATCGATTCGATTTCGGTATTTAGTATTGGGTTATTGGGGAAATGGATAACCCATTAAAACGATAGTAATTTACTACTTTACCCTTCATAAATATCAAACATTAGTAATTTAATATAACTAATCATTATATCAATACTCGACACTATAGTCTTCACACAAAAAAATTCATATTATGTTTTGGCTATAACATTAATTATAGCATTCGTACTACATTTGTTCTTATTGATGCAATTTTCTCATTATTTTTCGTGTTTCACTATATCAAAGCATTTACAACTGATTTGCTTGTTTCACTGTATCACATCAAATTATTAGAGAAGTGAGAAGTCATATATTTATTTTATGAGCATTTTTCTTATTCAGTAAATCAAAAATTGATTCAAATATTTTATTAATTTAACGATTTAAAAATCGAAAATCAAACTAACAGTACATAAAACTGAACCGAATTGACCAATGCATGACCCGCCACTTTTATTTTTTGATTTTTGTGCTCTAATATTAGTGGATGGAAATTATTTTTTCAAATAAATGTTTGTAAATTAAACAAATGGCCCAATCAGAAAATTTTGCAGCCTAAATTGGACCACTGTACATGCAATAATGAGTTAATACCTCAGATGGTCACTCAACTATGCACTCTTCTTTCAGAAAGTCACTCAACTTTCGATTTTAACTCAAAAGTCACTCAACTATGCACTTCTTTCTCAGAAAGTCACTCAACTTTGAATTTTAACTCAAAAGTCACTCAACTATGCACTTCTTTCTCAGAAAGTCACTCAACTTTGAATTTTAACTCAAAAGTCACTCAACTATCCACTCTTCCCTCAGAAAGTCACTCAATCTATTTAATTATTTTTTTATAATTAAAATTTGCTGATATTAATTGTTTCTATAACAAACCAAAATTTTTTAAAAAAAATATCAGCAATTTTTTATCTTCATTCCCTCTCTAAATTTTTTATTTTTTTAAATTTTTGGTTTGTTATATAAATAATTAATATCAGCAAATTTTAATTAAAAAAACAATTAAATAGATTGAGTGACTTTCTGAGAGAAGAGTGGATAGTTGAGTAACTTTTGAGTTAAAATTCAAAGTAACTTTTTGAGAGAGAAGTGCATAGTTGAGTGACTTTCTGAGAGAGAAGTGTATAGTTGAGTGACTTTTGAGTTAAAATTGAAAGTTGAATGACTTTCTGAGAGAAAAATACATAGTTGAGTGACTATTTGAGGTATTAACTCATACAATAGTTTAAGAGAATCTCTTTTTGATATGGAATTATTGTACCTTGTTGAAGGACAATAATGGCTGACAAGGAACTAATGGTTATTTCATCGGTTTTTATTTATGTGGATGAATTTCATTTAGTTATTCCAAAATAAAATGTTAGTAATAATCTTATATTTTCAATTATATTAAATTTTTAATTTTTATTATTATTAATGAGATGCTCAAATTTCCAAAATATTCTTTTACTTCTCAAGTTTTCTAAAACATTTAAACATTTTAGAAATTCTATACATTGAAACTTCATGATCTAAGTGTATTTAAGATATACTTTTTAAGAGAAATAATAACTACTCTAATAACTAAAAAAAAAGAATTTACATATAATAAGTATTTAATTATAAGTCATTTACGTATATAAATACATATTTTTTTTACTAATAGTTGGTGTATCTTATTGATAGTTTATGTTCAGTTTTTATTTATGAGTTTTGACAGAGAAATGTTCCCAAAAATGAGTAGTGATCTCTTTTTTTTATAATTAAAGGCATGAATTAAAAAAAATATTTCTTTTTAAAATTTTGTAAAGAATTACTGTCTTATTGTTTATAGTTTTAGTTTGTCTAATTAAATTTTAATATATTTAATTATTTATGGATATAATTCAACAGGGGGTCTAATTAAGTGTAGAATCTCCATAATTTAGAGGGCGTAAATATTTGGTTCTAAAGAATAAAATGTCTATCTGTAACTATAGGGTCCGTTTGGACATGAAGTTGAAATGTGAAAACCTTCCTTTGTGAAAATTATTAAAATTTTCTCTAACTTTTATATAATCTTGTCAAATGACTAAATCATAATTCATAAACAATGTCTATATGTATCCTTAGGTGTCGCATTAATAAATCACACATCTTTATTTTTCTTTTGTTAATAAATATTTACGATTACATATTATAATTACAAACTTTCAAATACATTTAATCTTACGAAAATTTATTGGTCCACTCTCCACCCGACTCCATCTCACCCCATGTACTCTCCAAAGTCCAATCTCTTTCTCTCACAACCCCACACACCCCCATAAAAAAAAAAACTTAAGTAATCAATTGAGAAAATGAAACTTTTTCATTCGTATTAGATATACCCATAATAGAAAAATATCTTGTATAAGAATTAAGAGATTTGTTTTTTTGTTGGAAGGACCATATCATATAGACCTATCCACCACGTGAGTGATATGGATATTTTTCATTGAAAGCAAAATATTTATGTCTTGAAACAATTACAAATGGATAAATCTGATTTTATGTGAGTAAAGAAGAAGCACCCAAATTTTCCTTCTTATCCTCTGCTCTAATTGCAGGACCAATACTGATGTGCAAACGGGACCATTAACGATTATGAATAAGTAAAACGTGCCAATGAAGTACGATGGTTAGTTGAGTATATTTATATATTGAAAAGGGTATATCCATTCAATTTCGCATATTTTAAAAATATATTTTATTTTTTTGTGTATGAATTGTTAAATTAGGTTAATTGATAGGAGTCGCCAAATATTGAACAGTAAAAATGTTTTTGTGCTAAAATATTAGTTACAAACGTACTCACTTAATTTCACATAATTTAAAGGTATAGATATTTGGAAATAAATAATTAAAGTGGTGAGCAAGAATAAAACCTCAAAAAATATGCGTTAGTCGCCTCTTTGAATTCATTTAAGCGGTAAATGTGAATAACACAAAGACTATTGAACGATCATTACACCAAATAAACTAATGACAATAACTTGATTGTCGGTAAATATGTATTTGTAGGGGTAATTACCACTCTTTATAAATGTCTCTAAAACCTATAACGACATTGAATCCAATGAAAATTAACTAATGTTGATAAATACTTTAGCAATTAGCACTCTTTGCTAATGTGTTTTTGATATTGTAGTGATCTACCAGTGACTACATGGCGAATACTTTAAGGAGGCTCGAAGTTGAGCAATCCTTATTGTTTCTTCTTATTCACTATGAAGCATGGTAGCTCTCATTGATCAATACTATTTATTTATGTAATTCAGATACATGCAAATAGGGGAGGACCTAGGTGGAGCCTAACCCCCTTGTCAAAAATTACACTATATATATAATATCAAATTCTTATTTTTTGTGTATATACATTAAAATGAACCCCCTGAGAACAAAGTACAGACTTGGCTCAATGGATACATGGTCCATGTAATGCCCCTATGTCACGTGTTCAAGTCCCATTGGCAACATTTTTTCCCCTTTTTAATATTAGCTTTGGAAAATGGAACTTTTGGGCTTAGACCTTCTTCTTCTTTTTCACTATTTTTTCCTTTTATTCCATTTCTTCTTTTTAATTTATTTTTGTTTAAATTTATTAGACACATTCTTTTTATTTTTATATTTTATTCTTTTTATATCTATTATTCATTTTGTTTCAACGTAACTCTTTTTTCATATACGTTTGAATAACTTTTTTTTAGAAAATGATGAATTATATTTAACTTGAAATTGAGATAGAAATATAGTTTATTTTAAAAAAAAATGTAAATTAGATGTAATTGAATGAAGAAGCTTAAATATCATCAACGTCCATTTAAAAATATTAATTTAATAGAAATTCATGAAATTTCTTTTATATTTTAATTCTATTTTAGTGAGATGAAAACTAAACTTATTTGATTTATTCGTTATTTGTTTTTTTTTTACAAATTATGACTAACCTAGTAAATTGAACTATATGAACTAAAAAAATTGACGATGCTATTTATTTATATTAATAATATGCATTATAATATTAGTAACTCTATTCTTACACACTTTTAGAGAATCTTAACGATTTTCATAGTAATATTTGATTGAATGGGTATTAATTTAAAATTTTTAAAAAGGGAAATATAAAGTAAAACATTACAAAATAAAAGTATAAAAAGCACAAGAAATTTTAAGAATGCTCAATGGACATGATAAAAGTAAAAAGAAATGTTAATACGGTATGATAAAGTGAGTTAAATTTAGCATGATTAGGTAAATATCTTTCTTCTCCGTCTCGCTCCCTTTTTCATCATTTAATTTTCATGTGTGTTAGGAATTAACTTATGTAATACTGTCGATCCACTAAAATTCTTATCAATGCATCTTTGTCCTCGATATCTTTGATTAGCTTAGTCTTTACTTTTATAAACCAATGAAATATCTATGGTTCTTGTACAAAGAGCATGCCGAGAGGCTACTACGCTCACCGCGCACTTGCATTACCACCTGAGCTTCTTCTTTATACTTCAAACTCCCTGAGCAAAAATTCTGGATCCGCCACTACATGCAAACCACACTAGATACATGACATTGACATGATTAGGAATTGAGGATATCACTTCACTCTATAAAGTAGAAGGCTTTATTAGTATAAACAAGTCACAAGTGAAACATGACCAAGTGTTTATTATTCCTCTTATCTCTTTGTTTACTTGCTTTTGTTGGGTTTTCATCAACTTCCCCTTGTCAAAATCCTCGTAATTCTAATAGGGAAGTATTCGACACATTGGGTAGAGGAATTAATCCTCGTTCAAATTATCGTATCGCTTCATCTCTCGGAGGTGTCCTAAGTGGTCATGTATACCTAGGTCACATCCCAAATTCAGGTGCCTCTTGTCCAGACGGCGTCTTCAAGTACAACTCCGATGGACAAAGAGGTACACCTCTTAGATTTATTGAACATTCTTGTAGAGGACAACCACCTCGCATCTATGAAAACCAAGACATTAACATCCAGTTCGTTGGTTCGAGGAATTGTGATAATTTTATAAATTGGAAAGTGGGAGAGTACAATGCAACACTAGAGGCAAGTTTGTTTGGGACTCGTGGAGGAACGATAGGAAGAGCAGATAGTAGTTGGTTTAAAATAGTGAGAGCAGAAAGAGGTTACCATTTGTTGAATTGTCCTGGTCCTTTTGTATGTCCAAATTGTGCTCTTAATCAATGTCGAGTAGTGTGGGTGGTTGTGTTAGATGGAAGAAGGCGTTTGGCTCTCGCCACAAGACAAACGCCTTCTCAAGGGCTCCGTTTCCCTCTTAGTGTCTACTTTGTGCGCGCATAATTAACACTATGTTACGTTCTTGTATAATTATCTTTCTAAATAAAACTCTTTAATTTTATCATGCCAATGTTCTTTACTTTTGGAGTTCTTTTTCGCCTTTCAGGAATATTTATTTTAAGAATAGTGAACATAAAAATGGACAGAGGAAGTAGATATATCATATATGACCTTATTCACGTATGTAGGGGTGTTCACGGGTCAGTTTCAGTCGGTTATTCGTCAAAATTAAAATCAAACCAATAAAATTGGTTTTAAATTATAAAACCAACCAAACCAAATATAATATTTATTTATCGATTTGATTGATATCAGTTTCGATTCAGCTTGGCTCGGTTATTCAGTTATTAACAATACATAAAAATTAAAAAAAAAAAAGATTCATTCAAAAGAGGGAAAAAGACAACAATCTTCTTTCCTTCTGGAACTCAGGAATTATTTGGAGTTTTTGCGCATGTTTCTTTCCACAGGTAAATAAGTAAATTAATATTAAGAGTAATTAAAAGTGACAAATAAAAATGAATATTTACTTTTAGAATAGTGAACATAAAAATGAAAAGAGGGAGTAGTTGTATCATATATGACCTTATTCACGTAAGGGGTGTTTACGGGTCGGTTATGATCAGTTGTTGGTCAAAATTAAAACCAAACTAGTTTAATCGGTTTTAAACTATAAAACCAACCAAACCAAATGTAACGTCCATTTATCGGTTTGGTTAATATCAATTTTGATTCAGTTTGGCTCGGTTATTCGGTAGTTAAATTTTTTTTAAAAAAATTCATTCAAAATGAAAAATAGTTAGGACGACTAACATTACAAAACTTTCGATCATTGAATTTATTGTGAATAAAGTTTCAAAATTTATCATTTTGGTCTAGAAGGAAGAGATAGTGACATTCCTAGTCCCACAAAAAAATATTAGACACTCTTATGTTGTTATACATGAAACCAATAAGATAAATGTTCTGGTATTGAACGTTTTTACTTTCATAAATAAATTATAAATAAATTTTGATGAAAACATATATAATATATTTAAAATTATCTATAAAAATAATATATTATGCATGTATAATAATAAAACATATGTATGTAATTTATCGGTTCAATTTGGTTATTTTTTTGATTTTTTTTAACAAAATCAAAATCAAATCAAATACTATCGGTTTTTAAGAATCTAAAACCAAATCAAATCCAACCACAAATAAAGCCGTTTATTTAGTCGATTTGGTTTGAATATTCAATTTAAAACAATTTTTATCTAAATCGTGAACATCATTAACCGTAAATACTTAGTAGGCGTTTGGCCATGCGATACCATATCACGATATGGAATAGTGAGATGGAATCAATGTTTGGACATGCTATTTCACACTGATTCCATCTCATGATTCCATATTCTCCAAAAACCATGATATGAAAATTTCATATCATGATTTGAGATATTTTAATACAAAAATTGATTCACAAGTTTATATTTTGTTAAAACAACTCCACATTTATATCTACTAACCATTTATTTCATATGTAAATAAAATTTATAATCACATCATTACTTTTTAAAATTTATTATTCTCACCAACATATAGTCACTTTAACTCACAACAACCGATTGTTGAGTAATAAATTTGTTCTCTTCATTTACTCCAACACCTAATTTATTGCTTCTACCGATTTGTATTTATTACAACTTATAGTTATATCTATTTGAACAACAAAGCAAATCAAATTGATGCATTGAAAATTGTCATAGCTTGTGCAGTGTTACATAATTATTTGCGAGAATACTAAAGGACTGATTAAATATTCATAGTCTATGAGCATGAAAATATAGTTGCAGATGATATTGACCAACAAATGGCTCAAAGTAACAATGTTGGTTCGTCTTCTCGATCACATGAACGAGAAATGCAAGTTTAACTTGAGGAAATTGTACGTACTATGTGAGAAGATTATATTAAAGACTAGTACACTACAATTTATTCAATTTTTTTATTGAATTAAAGTTAGATGAAACAGTTACTTAAGTGGAGAACAAATAGCTTTGTAATAATTTATTATGCGATTTTATAAATTTTTGTTTATTTGGTAAGATTGAATAAACTATTGAAGACGGCAATAGTTAGTTAATAATTAGTCAGTTAGTTAGTAGTCGACTGACGTGGCAGAGTAGTTAGTTAGGATTACGAATTAGTTGTAACAGATTGTAACAGTTAAGTCATGTAGGTGTACATGTGTATGAAGTGATGTATATATATTTGCATAATGCTAAGTTGAGCTCATTCAATACAATACACATTTTATTTTACATTGTTGGTTATCTTCTTCCTCTCATATGTAATCTCAGCATCTCCATTGAAGGAGTTAACATGGTATCAGAGCAGGGGAATGAATCAACATCAATGGCGACTGAGTTCGTTATTCCTTACACACATCCTCTCTACTTGCATCCATTGGACACTCCAGGATCTGTGATTTGTCCTGTTAAGTTGACAGGGTCGGAGAATTATGGGTTATGGCGGAGGTCCATGCGAATTGCTTTGCAAGCGAAAAGGAAGTTAGGTTTGGTGATAGGAACCTGTAAGAGAGAAAATTTCGAGACTAAGTATCATGGTCAATGGGATACCTGTAATGCGATTGTTCTCTCATGGCTTATGAACACTGTAGCTCCTAATCTCTTAAGTGGTATCGTTTATGCGTCTGATGCATCACTGGTTTGGGAGGATCTGAAGGAACAATTTGACAAGGTCAATCGTGTGAGGATTTATCAGCTACACCGAGAGATTGCTACGATTGCGCAGGGGATCGATACTATTTCGGTTTATTTTACGAAATTGAAGGAATTATGGGCTGAATATGATGCTATGGTGATATTCCCAAGCTGTGAGTGCCCGAAGTCGAAGGATTATGTTGAGCATTTGCAACAACAACGACTGATTCAATTCCTTGAAGGTTTGAATGAATCGCACTTGCAAGCTAGGAGACAAATTTTGATGAAGACTTCTGAACCAACTCTCAATCAGGCGTATGCAATGATTGTTGAAGAAGAGAGTCAAAGGTCTGATGTGGATCGTAACACTTTGGGATTGAAATCTGTAACTGAAGGAAACGACATTACAACATTCTGGATTGCTAAGCATTCTCCAAAGCCTCGATACAAATCTCCGAATGCCTATTGTGATCACTGCAAGACGAAAGGTCATATGAAGAGTGATTGTTTTCAGCTTATAGGATATCCTCCTTGGTATAAAGGAAAGAAGAAAGAGGGATACAATGTGCAGTACAATGTTCCAGCCCATAATTCAACTGTGCCTAGGTTTAATCCTGAGTATAGTGGTCATAATACAGGGCCACATTATGGAAACTTATCGTTTTCTCACAATCATAACACTGCAGGTGAAATTAGCAAGTCTGTTGGAAATAATAGTCACATAGGAGCTCACACACATGGTTATACTGGAGTCCATGGATCTTATGCAACTGGATCTTCAGGATCTAATGTCACTGCAGATATGTGTATTCATGGATGTGGTAATGTAGGCACACATGGTCATGGAGGTGGTGGCATAAACATGGCATTCACAGGCAATCACTCTACTTCACATGGATCCCCTTCACCTGATACTACAGGTATTGTTAACTGCTCTATAGTGCATAATTCATCTGGTCATAGATGGATAGTTGACACAGGGGCCACAAATCATATGACATCAACTCCAACATTGCTTTGTGAAACTCAACTTCTACCTCCAACTGAATTTAATAAAGTTCATTTGCCTAATGGTCAACAAATACCTATTGCTTTCAGTGGGAAATCTAGATTGGCACAGGGAGATATATCTCATGTTTTATATATTGCAGATTTTAACTACAATTTGCTTTCAGTCTCTAAACTGACTAGAGAACTCCAATGTTGCATGGTGTTTTATCCTGATCATTGCATACTGCAGGACTTTCACACTGGGGAGGTGAATGGGACTGGTAATCTAGAAAATGGTTTATACTACTGGCCACACAATATTCATTCTACTGTTGCTCCCTCATCTGCATTGAGCATTGTGGACACTGTTGACTTGTGGCATAAAAGGTTAGGACACATTCCTCACAAGATCCTACAGCAAATGCATATACCACAACTCTCCAGTACCTCCAGATTGTCACCTTGTACTGTCTGTCCTTTAGCAAAGCAAACTCGGTTGCCTTTTCCTCAAAGTTCTAATAGATCCAATAAAGTGTTTAATTTGATTCATGGTGATGTTTGGGGTCCATATAGGACCTCCACTTATGATGGAAATAGATATTTTCTTACTTTAGTAGATGATTGTAGTAGAATGGTATGGACATTTCTCCTCAACCTGAAAAGTGATGTATTCATTGTATTGAAAGATTTTCTTCAACTAATACAAGGCAGTTTGGTGGTTTTATCAAGGTATTCAGAAGTGATAATGGTTCAGAATTCTTTAACTCTCATTGTAGTGAATTGTTTAGAACATCTGGTGGTAGTAGAGAGGAGACATAGACAAACTTTGGAGGTTGCCAGGGCTATTAGATTTCAAGCTCATTTACCTATCAGATTTTGGGGTCTCTGTGTTCAAAATGCTGTTTATTTGATCAATAGAATACCATCCACTGCACTGTCCGAAAAATCTCTTTTTTCTGTATTTTTTGGAAGAGAACCCTTTTTACAACACCTTCGAGTTATAGGCTGCTTATGTTTTGCTGTTAACCATAATACTCATGGTGATAAGTTTGCTACAAGATCTATTCAGTCAGTTTTTATGGGTTATTCTACCACACAAAAGGGGTACAGACCGTATAATTTGTCCACCAAATTTTTCTTTATTAGTAGGGATGTCATCTTTAGAGAAGATGAATACCCTTTCAAACATATTCAGGCTGCGATTTCTGGACCTTTTTTTAATGATACTTCTGACATGTTTGTTTATGATGATTATCAGAATTCCAGTGTATTGCCTGAGGTGTCTGATCTCTCTCCCTCCTTAGATATATCACCTGTTCCTGTTTCCTCATTTCCTACTCAGTTTTCACTGCCATCACCATCTGCAGTATCTTCTCCTAACACCATTGAGCCAAACCTTAGGAGGTCAACTAGATCATCTAAGCCTCCTGGATGGTTGCATGGTTTTGTTCATTCTGTCTCTAGCACTCCTTCACACCCTCAGCCTTGCTCCACTGCTCATCCTTTATCTACATATATGTCTTATGCCTCTTTATCCCCATCTTACTTCTAGTCCTTGTGTAATTTTTCTGCTGTACAAGAACCTACTTCTTATGATGAGGCTCTGCAAAACACACTCTGGATCCAAGCCATGGAACAAGAATTACAGGCTTTACATGACAATCACACTTGGGACTTGGTTGCATTACCCCCAGGAAAGAAGGCTATCAGGTGTAAGTGGGTTTATAAGGTGAAGTTTAATGCTCAGGGCGAGGTTGAAAGATACAAAGCTCGCCTAGTCGCTAAAGGTTACACACAACAAGAAGGTTTGGACTATCAAGAGACCTTTTCTCCAGTTGTCAAGATGGTGACTGTGAGAGTTGTTCTTTCTTTGGCTGTCATGCATGGTTGGACTTTACATCAAATGGATGCCTTTAATGCTTTCCTTCAGGGTGATTTAGTTGAAGAGGTCTACATGGTTCCCCCTCCCGGCCTACTTAAACAGGGGGAGTTGTACAAAGTTTATCAACTCAAAAAATCACTCTATGGTTTGAAACAAGCTTCTCGACAATGAAATTTAAAACTTTGTGAAGCACTTATAAGTTCTGGTTTCATCCAGAGTCACCATGATTATTCCTTGTTCAGCAAACGTTATGGTTCTGATTTGGTTCTCATTCTAGTTTATGTGGATGATCTTTTGATCACTGGCTCATGTTCTCAGTTAATTCAGGCTACCAAGCTTATGCTTCAGACTCATTTCAAGATCAAGGACTTGGGGGAGATGAGATACTTCCTTGGTCTTGAAATTGCAAGAAATAAGGATGGTATCATGGTAGGTCAAAGGAAATTTGCTTTGGATCTTATATCAGATTTTGGTCTTGCAGGGACCAAACCAATTAGCACTCCTTTGGAAGTCAATCAAAGGTTCACTAGTCAGGACTTTGACATGAATTGTGAGTCTCATGAACCACATGAAGATGTAATTCTTAGTGATCCCACAGGCTATCAGAAACTAGTTGGTAAATTGTTATACCTCACCATGACAAGGCCAGACATCAGTTATGCAGTACAGAATCTTAGCCAGTTCATGCATAAGCCTAAGAAATCACACATGGAGGGGGCATTAAGAGTGATCAGGTACCTAAAAAATGCACCAGGTTTGGGAGTTATGCTGTCATCAAAGGCTTCTAAACAACTTTCAGTTTATTGTGATGCTGACTGGGCTACTTGTCCTATGACAAGGAGATCTGTGAGTGGTTTTGTGGTGAAGATTGGAGACTCTTTAATTTCGTGCAAATCAAAGAAACAGAACACTGTATCAAGGAGCTCTGCTGAAGCAGAGTATAGAAGCATGACTAATGCTGTAGCAGAAGTTGTGTGGCTAGTAGGTCTATACAAAGAATTGAAAGTGGAGCTGGAGTTACCAGTTAAGTTGTTTTGTGATAGCAAAGCAGCACTTCAAATTGTTGCTAATCCTATATATCATGAAAGGACAAAACACATAGAGATTGATTGTCACTTTATTCGAGAAAAAAAACAAGAAGGCCTTATCCAAACAGATCATGTACCTTCCAAGATGCAACTAGTTGATATATTGACAAAGGGTTCGGGGAGGACTCAACATGATTTTCTACTATCCAAGCTGGGTGTATACAATTTATTTGCACCATACAGCTTGAGGGGGAGTATCGAAGACGGCAATAGTTAGTTAATAATTAGTCAGTTAGTTAGTAGTCGACTGACGTGGCAGAGTAGTTAGTTAGGATTACGAATTAGTTGTAACAGATTGTAACAGTTAATTCATGTAGGAGTACAGGTGTATGAAGTGATGTATATATATTTGCATAATGCTCAGTTGAGCTCATTCAATACAATACACATTTTATTTTACATTGTTGGTTATCTTCATCCTCTCATACGTAATCTCAGCATCTCCATTGAAGGAGTTAACATAAATAATTGGGGCTATTTTAATAGTTTTACAATTTATGAGATTCTTATGTTTATAAGAAAATATACAACACAAAAATTTCATATCGTATGTTCAAACAGAATTTCAATTTCATCTTATAATTTCATATTTTGCTATCATGATATGATATCATATCGCATGGCCAAATTGGGCCTTAATTTGTATGGCATACGTAAGTCCTTAATTTGTGGCACGTTCTAAACATGAGTACTTATTGTTCCCTAGTGGTAGTCGACTAGTCGATGTCCATCCTTAAAAGTTGTCGGACATTTATTAGTTGATTAAAGAGCACAACAGTACATGAAAATCAATACAGTATCATTTTATATAATCATTTTTTTTAACACAAAGTTTATACCATAAAAACAATTTCATATAGTTTGAAAATATTTTTAACCCTTTCTGATTTTATCTTTTCCATCTAGTACTAGTACATTTATTTCACGTGGCTTCATCAGACTAATTTATCATTATTGACAAGTTCACTTTTTACAATATATACTCTCTCTCTCCCTTTCTATTTAGATTGCAGACTAGATACGATTTATTTTTTTAAAGTAAAAATATATATGATTCAAAACCAGCCTTATAAATTATTTTGTAAATTTCGAGAGGTAAAAAGGCATTTTTCTTCATAAAATAATCTTTAAAATAAGGTGTTTGGATAGTATTTTTGAAAGGAAATATTGAAGGGGATTCTGGAGAATAGCAAAAGCTTTTTTAAAAGATTAAAAAGTAGTTTTTCTCCAAATTAAAAGTACTTTTTTTAAAAAAAAACTTATATCTTATAAAATTAATTAAATTTTTTTTCATGACAAATTAGTTAAATCATATTTTTCTTAAATAAATGACAATTTGAAGGCAAATTTTTGTAATTATTGCTTTATTTTTCTCTCTTTTTTTCTCTAGCTATAATGACTCGTAGATAAACTCTCTCATATGACGAGGTGTTTTGATACAAGAAAATATATTTCATCTGGTCCAATTTGTGGAACAATTCGAATTTTGAAAGTCAAAAAGTTTAATTTCTACCGTAAATTAAAACATGAAACTTTAAATTTTTAAAAAATAAAATACATATTCAAACACTACATAAAAAGTACATGTAGGTCACAATATTTAATAATTAAAGATATTTAAAACATATAGGAAAAAATTTACGAACAAAGAAATACTTATTTGAATTCTCGAAATTAAAGAAGTGCAACACAAAATGAGATGAAGAAAAATAAGTAATGTTTGATAAGGAATTTATTATAATTGAATGAGCATTTAAATAATTTACTTGTAATAACGACCACGCTAAGGACCACTAGATATTCGTGTTTAAAACATGGCAAGGAATATGAGAGTGACCACTTTTTGGTTCTTGTGAATAATATTGTTTGGTTCAAAACGAGCCTTATAAATAGTTTGGATAAGCTTGAATATAGAGCTTTATAATACTTCTATATTTATTTTTAAAAAATAAGTTGTTTTGGAAGAAAATAATTAAGTGCTTTTAAAGAATTAGCAAAAAAATATTCAAAAACTAAAAAAAATTGTTTTTCCTCAAATATATATATATATATATTTATTGATTAAATAAGAATATACATAATAAAGGACAAATTAGTTAACTATTCTATAAATAATACTTATAAAAAAATAATTAAGTGCTTTTAAAGAATTAGCAAAAAAATATTCAAAAACTAAAAAAAATTGTTTTTCCTCAAATATATATATATATATATATATATATATATATATATATTTATTGATTAAATAAGAATATACATAATAAAGGACAAATTAGTTAACTATTCTATAAATAATACTATAAAAATAAAGGAGAAATAATTAAGCACAATCATAAGGATAAATTTCTTAAGGATAATGCAAGCATTGTTGCTTGCAAATCCATTTTCGTAAGGGTAAATTTCAAAGTTAATGTGCTTTAAATGTTATTTTCTGAAAGTATTAGGATTTAGGAGTATTGTTTAGGTCAGTTTAATTAACCCACAACACCATAGGGATCAATAGACAATATGTTATTTGCGACAAATTTTCACGTATAAAAAATAAATTTCATGTGCTTTCAGATGCTATTTTCTAACAATATTAGGACTTAGGAGTATGTTCAGGGCAGTTAAACCCACAACAACATAGGGATCAATATACATATGTTGTTTGCAACAAATTTAAATATATGAAAGTTAAATTTCAGGCACAAATAAAATATGAAGAAGAAAAATATCCCATTAATAAATAGTGTGCATATAATTATGTTCTTCCTTGATGTTTCTCTCTAAATTTTTCCATAATTTTAAGATTGTTAGTGACGTATTTCTCTAATTATGATAACATAAAACTCCTTACGACTTATTTGATAGCTAGCAACAATATGCGGTGACTTTAACCAAGACAATATTTGATAACAAAATAGAATCACATAAATATAATGTTGGGTGTGTGAACAAAATTTCGTATAAAAAATAGGAAAGAAAAAGTGAAGGGATCAATGTATACACTAAAATGAATCATGCATTTATGATCTAATTTTGTTGCCCTCATTTATTAGGTTTATGTGCAAATTAAAGTACAAGTGCTTGGAATTGGTAAACCATAAAAATAAACTTATCTCTGTTATAAACATAGCATATCCAGCAAAAAATTACAGAACCTAAATATTGTCTCTTTCCTCTCTACTTTTAGAATGTAGAATACATTTTATTAGAGTTATTAGTCATAATTACTAGAGTTATAACTGTTGCTTACTTATTATACTAAGAAGAATTTATTGGATTCTATGTTAGATATCTTGAAGAAGATATCTTGAAGAACAGTTCCCTTTGATTAGGAATGTTCTAGACATAAAGAAGAAGAATTAGAGAGAATGAGAAATGAACTTCATTGCTTAAGAGAAAAATAAATGAATCAGTAATGTGCTACATTTATACAAACTAAGTAGGAATCTTGTTGTAACTAATCTAACCGGCTCTTTACTAACTAACCCTCTAACTTCTATTAATTACATACAAACTCTTACTAATTACATGTAGGTCCTATGTAATACCTTCTTCAATACTCCCCCTCAAGTTTGAAGGTATGAACAAATTTAATACACCAAACTTGGACATTAAGTATTCATGTTGAGACTTCCCCAGACCTTTAGTTAATATATCAGCTTCTTTCTCCTTAGTATTCAAATACTTTGTTTTCACTAATCCTTGTTGTATTTTCTCCCTTATGAAATGGCAATCCAATTCAATATGTTTTGTTCTTTCATGAAGAACTGGATTTACTGCAATTTGAATTGCTGACTTGCTATCACAGTGAATAGTCACAGGAATTTGAACATTAGCACCTAGTTTTTTGAATAACCTCACTATCTAAACAACTTCAGCTACAACACTTGCCATGCTCCTATATTCTGCTTCAGCTGAACTTCTAGATATTGTTCCTTGTTTCTTTGACTTCCAGGATATTAGTGAATCTCCCAGCTTCACCATAAAACCAGAAACTGATCTTCTAGTATGTAGGCATGCTCTCCAGTCTGAATCACAATATACATTCAGTTGATTGTTTCTCTTGCTAGATAATAGGACACCTAGTCCAGCTTGTCCTTTTATGTATCTCACAACTTTGAGTGCAACATTAAGATGAGACTGCTTAGGTTGGTGAAGGAACTGACTCAAGGTTTGTGTAGCAAAGGCAATGTCTGGTCTTGTGACATTTAGATATAACAGTTTGCCAACTAACCTTCTATATATTGTAGCATCTTAAAGTAGTTTATCATCCTTGCCTTTTCCATTTATTTCATTATATTCTCTGGTTGTCAACTGGACATAAGGATCAAGAGGGGTGGCAGCTGGTTTTGCTGCTCCAAGGCCAGCTTCAGAAATAATTTCCAATGTGTACTTTCTTTGATGCATAACAATACCTGCTTGTGACCTTGCAAATTCAATCCCAAGAAAGTATCTGAGGTCTCCTAAATCCTTCATCTTGAAGGTATCTTGGAGGATCTTTTTGGTGTGTTGGATGAGTTTAAGATCATTACCAGTAATCATCTTATCATCCACATACACAAGAATTAGTACTAGTGATATACCAGTCATTTTAATGAACAATGAGTAGTCCAAAAGACTTTGAACAAAACCAAGTCTGATAAGAGCTTCAGTGAGTTTTACATTCCATTGTCTAGGAGCCCGTTTCAACCCATAGAGGGATTTATTGAGCTTACATACAGGTTTCCCCCGATGCACAATGAATCCCTGTGGAAGCTGAAATCCCTGAGGCAGAGTCATATAAACTTCATCAAAAAGATCTCCCTGAAGAAAAGCATTGGAGACATCCATTTGATGAACATGCCAGTGTTCAGAAGCAGTTAGAGCTAACACACTCCTGATAGTGACCATTTTCACAACTGGAGAAAAAGTCGCATGGTAGTCTAAACCTTCCCTCTGATTGAACCCTTTGGCAACTAGTCTAGCTTTAAATCTCTCAACTTCTCCAGAAGCCTGATACTTAATCTTGAATATCCACTTACATCCAATACCCTTTTTGTGAGAAGGTAAGGAAACCACTTGCCAAGTCTTATGATCCTCCAAGGCTGATATCTCAGCCTGCATTGCCTCAACCCACCTAGAGTCCTTGCAAGCTTCCTCAAAAGTGGTAGGTTCAACATCAGTCCCAAAGGAAGAAAGAAAGGCCTTGTAAGAGCTGGATAAATGATCATAGCCAATATACTGAT